TTTAGTTAAAGAGACGTATATGTTTATTAATGAACTAAATTATTTCTTCCTAACAAAACAAACATTTTTCAGTCAATATATTTTATTACAAAGCAGTAATACTTTAAATTTATATTTTACAAATATTTACGAAAATTAGTGATATGTTTTATACGATTTTCTTTGAAAATAATTTGTGAAAAATTAAATATACAAATATTGTATGATATTTATATGCATAATACACAGTATTACTTCAGATATAAATATTTTATTACTTTAGCTAATCAAAAATATTGCTTTATTCCTTTAAAGTATGTTGTTAATACAAAGCAAAATATTCCAAATGAAAAGATATATTTTGAAAAATATAAAAAATACATTATTTCGACAATATGCATCAACTTTAAATCATACCTACATCAAATTACACAGTAAAAAATTCTGGATAAAGTGATGTTAAAAAGTACTAGGACCCTGAATGCAGTATCCTTGAAATCCACTTTACCGTAATATCTATTTTTAGCGCAAAATTTTATACCACAATTTTCGTAGTGACATTTATTTAATTTTGCGTTGAAATGGATTTTACGGTAAAAAGTACTGACCCCCTGCGTGCTGGTACTTTTCACCGTAATTTGAACTGGAATTTCTTACGGTGCAAGGCATCAAATTAATTTCTTATTCAAATTAATTAATTAAGAAATTACATCAAATTTTGAAAATAAGGACATTTCGAAGTGCTAAGCAATTACAAGTTACTAAGCCATTTCTTTAAGCGCATCTATTTAATACGTAATTCAACTAAATTTCGATGCACCTATTATATTTGAATAACAACAAACTCAGATGTAAGTTTTACTGAATTCAAATTACAACAAAGCCATATCATTCTACATTATAATGAATACTTAATAATTAATGATACGTAACTAGTAATAGTTAATGATGCATAATTAATAATAATTAATGATACATAATTAATAATACATAGCGATAGAATATTACCTTACGTTTTAGTTAAATGAAATTTCTTTTAAGAAAAAGAAAAAACAATTTAAATGCAGTTTTGTGTGTTTTTATGCACACCTGTCGGAAAAATGACACTAAAGCCGCCAGCTGTCCGAGTTCCGCGGCGACATGACTTCAACAGCGTCAGTCTTGACAAATACGGAAACTTGTCCAAAATGACAGCGGCACGTAGGACGTATAATCCCGCTACCGAATCAATACCTTTACGTCAATCATCTCGTATGTGAAAGAATGACCACCGACGTTGATTTTTGCCGTCGAAATTAAAAACAAAACGGTACAAAAACACCTGTATATCAATTTCGCTAGCAGTAAATAAGATATAAAATATGTCTATTTATTATACCACTTTCTTATTTTGATAAAGAATTTTTTTTCTAATTCCAAATAAGATATATTTAGATTGTAAATAAATAAAAAATATTTAGATAATTACAATTAATGAATTAATTTAATTTTTCTTTATAAATTTTATGTTAATCCGTACCTGTCCGCCGGAGAGTTTAAACTTAAAAAAAAAGAAGATTTGAAATATATGTTCATAAATTATGATTAATTTTGTTTCTAAAGATTATAATTATTAGAAACAAAATTGTAGAAAACACCTGCTTATCAGTTTCATAGATAGTAAATAAAGTATGAAAAATGTATTATAAATAGTACCACTTTCTAATTTTCATAAAGATTTTCTTTTTAATTTTAAAGAGTAAATAAATGAAAAAACAATTTTCATAATAAGAAGTTAGTAAACTAATTTAATTTCCCCTTGTAATTTTTAGATTAATCCGAAACTGCCACCTTGAAGTTTCAAACTTAAGATTTCGCTTAAATAAATCTTAAAAATCATTGTGAGATTAGCTGCTTATTTTTATCATCTAGCAAAAAGTTTTGCATTAATAAACACATTCTTATTTTAAACTAAGTTTTAGTTTGAAAAGAATTTATCTGTATACTATCACCTTTTTATCGATGAATCTAGTAAATCTGGCAAGAATCGATGACAAAGCTTTGAATTGATATATTAATTCATCTTTTCAATTATTTATCTATTCAATAATCATTTTAATATTTTAAAAAAATTATGAAATATAGTTTAAAAAATTTGCTGAAACGATAACTTTTTAACAAAAGCTATGTGATGTTAATTCTATTTTTTTTTTAATTTTCCAACTCCTATAATTGAAAGTATTCTGTAAATATACATTAAAAAACAATATCATTTCCTATTTTACAGTTTAAAACTTTTCTGAAATGTTCATTTTTTTAAATATTATTAACTAACATGCTATAGCGTTTTAACAATCAAAAGAGAGTTGTGTATTAATTGTATTCATTTATCTTACGGTTTTTATTGTTATAAAATTTTTCTGGAATATAATTTAGAAATAATTAGCATGCACATTGGTATTTTTTTGTTTATCCTTAAAGTGTTAGCCCTGTATTATTTACACTTTACATAATTAAAAACATCCCTGACATGAGTTATGCAAAGCCAGTGAGCAGTCATGGCAACATTTCGGCAAATATTAGGGGTTGGGAAAATTATTTTCAATTCATTATTACTCACAGTATGTTTCTTACCTTTCATTCAGACTGAAATTTAAGACCAAAAATTATCGCATTTCAAAATTTCATTTATAAAAACATGTAATAAGTCATTAAGTTGATTGAATAGCATGTTTCATTGCGACCTGCTAAATAATGCAACTAAATAATGCAACTCAGCGGTGAGCAGAGCACATTTATTTTTACCTAGCAGACAAAAAATATTAACTACATATATCTATTCCCTGTTTTTGCAGATAAATCTTATAACTTTTCCACTGTGTCAATACAGAGCTTTGCCCTCTTGGGATGGCATGTTACAATAAATAATTGCAGTAAAATTATTTTTAAAATGTACTGAATGACCATACCATCACCAACACTGATTAAAGATAAAACAAGAATTATTATTTCATATTCAAACTTCAACATATTTTGATTTATTAATAAATGCTGATAAATGGTTTAATAAGCTTTAAAATGAAAATCTGATGCACAAACATTGTGCAATGCAATTTATTCTTATATTTAAAAAAAATTTAATCTAAATAAAAGGAATCAATAAAATGTATATAATAATAATTAATTTACCATTATGCCATTGAATCAAAATTATGAACTTATATTTTAAGATATAGCACAGGAAAAATGCACATTGTACATAATTTTTATTGAAATATTTATTAAATTTTATTTTAAAATTACAGATGAAAGATGAAATTAAAATGTACTTTTTTTTTAAATTTGTTGTGTTGCCTAACTGCTGATTTGTGGCTAACAGTAGAATAAGAATAAAATGTTTTAGATTTCAAAAACTGTTAATTTTAAGTTTTATTTATTTGTTATTTTTTTAATTTTATTTATTTATTTACCTTTTTTTTTACTCAAAGGTATTTAAATTTATGTTAATAATCTATAGATACTCCATATAAAGAAAATAATAATGACTGTATTTTTCCGGCGCTTTTTTTGGATTGCAGGCATTTCGAAGTATTTTTTACTATTATTTATTAATTGATTTATTTATTGCTATCTATTATCAGTATGAATTTCATTTTTTTTTTTTTACTTAGTTCAATGAATAGTCGAACTTATAACTTTTATAATTTCAAGGCTAATTAAAAACATATCGATTTTTACAACTATACGTATTAATTTCAAATCATTTACTGAAACAATATATGAAGGAAACATTATTCGGACTGCGTTTGCAATTTCATAGAACTTTTTTGGTAGCATGCTTGTCCTAGTACTTTTTTCTTGGCTTTTTATTTATTTATTTATTTATTTCTATTACTAGATTGAATTTCATCATATTTATTACTTATTTGAGCAAATAACGAAAGTAATAAATTTTATAATTTCAAAGCTAATTGAAAGGATAGTATATGAACACATTTACGGAACATTTACTGAAACAGTTTATGAAGGATACCTTATTTGGATTAAAACTGCATTTTCAAAGAACTTTATTTTTTATTGCAGGCTTTTCCTAGTACTTTTTACCGGGCTGTTTATTTATTTCTATTACTAGTATGAATTTCCCCTTATTTATTACTTACTTGAAAAAATAAACGAAGTAATAAATTTTATATTTTCAAAGCTAATTAGAAACATATTAATTTTTGCAAACTATGCATATTATTTGCAAAACATTTACTGAAACAATGGATGAAGGATACCTGCATCAAAACTGAGGAAAGCGCCATTTATTTACTTCAACAAATAATTGAAGTAATAAGTTTTATATTTTCGAAGCTTATTAGAAACATATTAATTTTTACGAACTATACATATTATTTGCAAAACATTTACCGAAACAAAGAGGAAGGATACCTGCATCTAAACTGAAGAAAGCTCCATTTATTACTTACTTGAACAAATAATTAAAGCAATAAATTTTATATTTTCAAAGCTAATTAGAGGCATATTAATTTTTACGAACTATTCTTATTATTTGCAAAATATTTACTGAAACAAAAAGGAAGTATACCTGCATCAAAACTGAAGAAAGCTCCATTTATTACTTACTTGAACAAATAATTATAGTAATAAGTTTTATATTTTCAAAGCTAATTAGAAACATTTTAATTTGCAAAACATTTACTGAAACAATGGATGAAGTATACCTGCATCAAAACTAAAGAAAGCTCCATTTATTACTTACTTGATCAAATAATTAAAGTAATAAGTTTTATAATTTCAAAGCTAATTAAAAGCATATTAATTTTACAAACTATGCATATTATTTGCAAAACATATACTAAAACAATATATAAAGGATACTTGCATCAGAACTGAAGAAAGCTCCATTTATTACTTACTTGAACAAATAATTAAAGTAATAAGTTTTATATTTTCGAAGCTAATTAGAAACATATTAATTTTTGCAAACTATACATATTATTTGCAAAACATTTACTGAAACAATATATGAATGATACCTGGATCAAAACTGAAGAAAGCTCCATTTCCTCTCACCATCAACGTCTGGAAAGAGATACAAAGTAACTCTGCATCATAAATCTGATTGTGCATTACAACGGAATTATGCACACTCTTAATGTTGAATGATAATAGTAATGAAATTCATTGCACCACACCCCTGGTGGGGTGGAAGCGGGGGCATATACTCGATCACATTTCCTGTGACTTTAATACACACATATGCCAGAAATAATATCCATAAGTTCTCGTGCAGAAATGCGTGATTGGTCATTAGCCAGCCTCTTTCCAGCCAGAGGGGTTCCATTCATTTCGGAACACGCCAAAATGACAATTCAGTAATAACAATGATGCTTCAAGACTTCATTGTTATGCGGGGGTAAGATTGGCGATACCAATTTGAGAACTTTTCCGACAAAAATTGCCGCTCTAGGGAAAACATCCAATACAGTTGAATTCGTTTGCCGTTCGTTATAAATAAAGATGATTTGTAATTTTACGAGCTTTATTCGGAATTTAAAGTTCAATTTTGGTTTGATGGGATCACTATTAGAATTCTTGATCTATGTTTAGGGAGTTATAAATATAAATGTAAGGATTAAATTGCGTCAAAGTTAAGTTAATTGCGATTTGTGGACATTGATACATTACGCTTCAAACAGTAAGAAATGCTGCTTAAAAGTAAATTGCGTGTATTTTTTGCAACAAATCATCTTGTAAAATTATTCATTGCAATCATTTCAATGTAGCTGTTCAATCATACAGAACAAAAATAGGTTTTCCCACTTAAATGTAACAGTTTAATTAAGTGAGTATTTTGGTTGTATTCGGTTATTAGCATTAAAGCTAGTTTTTTGCCTTACTGTTGTTATTTTACTCATTGATGTAAACAATTTCTTTTAAAAACGAAAATGTTCGTCAATAGAGTTGCAGAGCATATTATTGGATTTATTTTAATTTGCAAATTTAAGACGAACAAAACTATGGTAAATTAAGCTTACGTAATCAACTTAGCTTAGCATGAGATAGTATTTTAATAATTATCAGTTTCTCATTAATAAAAGTATGTACAGCAAGTATCGCTTTTGAATATTGTAATTATATTCTGAAAATTTTTAAATTCAATCTATCAAAAAATAGTAACCTAATATTTTGCAAACCATTTACGATGATAATTAATTTCAGAAATGTTTCAATTTATGAATAAAAAAAATATTTTTAGTATTTCCAACTTTTTTGTTATCTACTTTACATTTAATTGGCACTCTTTATGGACGCACTAGTTTAAATTGTTGGAATCCTTCCAATATATACCTTTCACAAAGACACCTATACAGTTATTAGTTATTTGAGAAGAAGTTACCCTATTTATAAACTATTTAATTATAGTTTATTGAATGTTTTCAAATTATTTTCTAAAATCTTTTAATAATCTTACTCAGTTTGAATAGCTAAAATTTTTCTAATTTTTAAAAAGAATAATCTTTATCTATGAAACATTTTTGTACAAATTTAATGAGTTGTCATTTATCACCTTTTAAAAATTTTATCGACTTATACTTTGTATGGTTCTATATGATCTAAGGAAAATATTCTAGAATATGTTAATGCAAACAAATATTTAAATTTAACGTGGTTTTGCGAATAAATGAACATCACATCTTTTGATTTCAAAGTGATTTTTTTCCGCCCTAAACATTTTCGTAAAAAATAAATGAATAAATAAAAAAAATATTTCAAGTTCAAGAAGCTGTGTTTTAGTTTGTGCGTTAACATATAATCGAGCGTTTATGTACATTTAAAAAGTGTCTACATTTAAATCTTAACACCAATAATTAAATATGTTTACAAAAAACTCATCAGCATTCACACGATTTGTGAATTATTTTCGATTCCTAAAACATCAATTTTGGTGGACATTGTATGTTATCGATTCATTGTAAAAACCGTGGTACAATATCTCTTCGAATTTGGTGAATGAAAACTCCAAAAATTGTGGGTATGTTATACCGGATCGAACGACAAGTCAGCACTTGCAGACATTGTGTGAAATTTTTTCCAAACTTAATACACACTTATAAAAATATTTCGAATGTAACAATCAGGGGTTTGTGACTGATAGAAATTTGAATGTGAATAACTGGTACAATTTAGACAACTCTCTTCAATATAAAATCGTAATGCATATAAATTGTTAATCGTAATGCATGTGAAATGTTTATCAATCGAAGGTTACACAGGATGTATATTTTTAGAAGTTCTAAATATTATTCGAACCAATTTAAAAAGTGTATTAGCGTGCATCTTCCAAAGAATAAGTAAAGCGAGGTCGGAATACGAAACAATCAGGAAAGAACTGTGAAAGCAGTTTAGGAGGTTGGCGAGCGCAACGTGAAGAGGGTGTGCCCCAATAACATTAATAATCTTATAATTTGAGTAATAAAAAAAAGCAAATTTTATTTTTCATTATAATCCACAGAGGAGGGCCGAGATAGCCTGGTTGGTAGGACACTGGGCTCATGTCCAAGCGATCGTGGGTTCGATCCCTGCCAGCCGAAGACTCCCCGTGTGGTAAATGGTGACTGATGCACGTTAAATCTGTCGGGGTCACAAAGTTCTCCGAGTTCCTATAACAAATCAACACCTCTGGGGGTACTGATTCATGAGCACCCAAGTCTTCTGGATTCGGATCAAAATTACAAGGATACGAAATTGGACCTAAGTAGTCGTAAGCCCAGAATTGGGTCGGATGTTTAACGACGGTTATAACATAAAATCAAATCTAATCCACAGAGAAGCATGGTGGTTTAGGAAATAGATCACTGGTGAGGAAACCCGGGTTCGAATATTAGCGATGGCTATACGAATTTCCGCACCCTACTCGCATCGACCGCAGTGCTGACGTAAGAGATCCTCAGCGGTTGACGGATAATGAGTTTTGAGTCCCCTTGCCGTCAGGCTAACCATGATGGTTTTCGTGATTTTTCTCTGCAAGAAGCTCGAACGCGGGTTGGTTCCTTCAATTAAATCCACCACCAAGGCAAATTTCTCCCAATGTTTGATCCAGGAGTTCCTTTCTTCTGGATTGGGTTCCAAATTACAAGGCTACGGAGTTGAGCATTGGTAGTCGTAAACTCAGAATTGGATTGGCTAATCAATGACGGGTATAAACTAATACACTGTAAACCCAGCTAATGGGGCAGCTATTTAGGACAATATTAAATCTAGATTGAGTGCCATAAAATAATTTATGTAATTAAATTCTCAATTCGCTACTCTTCCGATTCTCCATTCTTACTAACACAGAAATTTGAAAAATCTCCAAACACTGAAACATATAGGATTACAATAACTAAGTCATTAAAAACAAAATAAAATTCAAGTCCTTCTGCAACGCCAGAATACACACCGAAATTGGTTAAGCGTGAAAGATTCCTCGGCTGAATTCAAGTCTATAGATTCTATCAGTGCGGATGCGAAACCAGACTTAAATAAAAATGTTCTATTTCTGTTCGAATTCTCAAACCCACGCGTCACCCCCTTCTTTATTGGTCAAAGATATCAAAAGATGAAATCCAAGGTTATGCATACTACAGTGAACTTTCATACAGAATTTCATTCAGCAACTATTAAAGTTAAAAAAAATTTGAAAAATATATCTTTAAGGCAGGAAAATCACTTTGAGGATGCACTAATACATTTATTTGCGACCTATTTTATTTTATTTCATCATATAAGTAACAGAAATCAGGCAAAAGCGTTTGAACTCAGATTTGTTATGATGCTAAACCGAACTACACTGTTAGAAATTTCTCGGAAAAACTGGTTAAATAACGATTTATTTAATTGTTAATTCACCATATTCAACAAAACAGTCAAATAACCGTAAAAAAGATGGTATTCAAACTGTTAACTAAGAGAAAAACAGTTTATTAACTATTTTGACCTAATACAGCTAAACAACTGGAATTTTATCGTACCAATTATACCCATCTAGTATATTTATTTAGTTCCTTGCAGTTGGGTACATATTATAGCCGAGAGAACTAATCTGTTAATCCCATGATCGGCAGAACCGGGGTTCGAGTCAAAAGGTTGACACCATAACATTTCCTCCATTCTCTTCAACACATGAAAAATTTATAGTTCCCGGATCTCCCCAATTTGTGATCTTAGACTATTTGAATACTATATTCTCTTTCACAGATAGATGGCAGCACCATAAAGATGCTTAACAAAAAAAGTCTAGTATTTCCCATCTCTTGACATAGGGGAAGCAACCAGATAAATAAATTAAATCATATTCCACGGTTCATTTGAAAAAGCACAACTTAAGCACAACCTAATTCCAATTCCACTTACCAAACAAAAAGCTAAGCTCCATTTTCCAGTTAAATGTCTTTTTTATGGTTTCGAAACCATGCTAGTTGTAAATGGTTGAAAAACCGCATAGCTTTGCATTCATGGTTTTTTAAACTATACTAGCTGTACACAATTCAAAACCATAAAGGTAAAAAACGTTCTTTACCGTAATTTTGGAAGAAACATTCTAACAGTGTACGGAATTCTTAATATCCAGCTATCACGAGATCTCCTCCCTAATGAAAGTCTGAGTTTGTCTGCTGCTGTGAAACAAGAATATAACAGTTTCTTTTGGAGGATAGTTGAACCAATGACACAATTGTTGTTGTCGTATGCCATTAAGACAAACGGGGTGAGCTTCTTGTTTTCCAGGGGCACCATCTATGACCAAGAATTCGTCTTGGGCCACACACATACGTCACAGTTCGTTTATAGGGCGGACTCATTCATACATTTATTCATTTATCCACAGATCGTAATTTTGGTCTGAATCAGAGAACGACCAATCTTCAATCCAGTAACCCCAGAGGTGTTGATTTGTTATGGGAACATGGAGAATTTTGTGACCTGACAGATTTAACGTGCACTAGTCACTATTTACCACACGGGGAGTCTTCGACCGGGGGGATCAAGGTGTATAGTTGCCCCCATTTTTGGTGTTTAGGTAAACTAAATGCATTAAGTGCAGAACTATCGTTACAGTGTAAAAAATTATATGAAATTCACAAAATAGTAATTGTTTGAAAGAATTAGTGTACTCAAAATGTGCTTTATTTTTAAATGAAATGTTTTTGCAATGTTTTGCTATGAATTGATTCGATGCGAATGAAAATATGTGGTATTGCTAAGTAAACAAATAAATAAACAACGAATAAATAAACAAATGAAGCTATAACAGTGAAAAAGTAAATAAAAAATGGGACTACATACACTGTACAAAAAAATTTGTTTATCTCAACATCAAAAATGGTGGCTGCTGTACATCAAAAATTTT